GGCTTCCTGGGGGCGGCAGCGTCTGGTTTCACTTTTGCTAGTTTTATTCTATTTCATTATTATTATTATTATTTTTCCTGGTGCTTTTGAACAAAAAAGCAATCCCAGCTTTAGTGCCGTGCAGGTGCTGCTGCTCGACTTAACGGCCACGACCCCCGAGCCCCAAACTTATTGCTCTTAAGCGAGGCCTTTGTCAAAAGTGAGTTTAAGGACCTTGCTTTCCACCGTTGTTAAGTGAATCACACGGCAGGCGATAAGGTAGTAACTCAGTTGTTAAAGTGAGCCTGGCTTCCTCCACAGACGGGTCCAAAGGTTGCAAAAGGAGAACTGGTGAGCCAGGGATGCTGCGACCATCATATGATCCCCCCACCTCACCCCCCCAGTGCCTGAATTTTGATCCTATGATCACGTGGGGGATGCTACCATAGTTGTAACTGTGAAAAACGGCTCCAAGTCGCTTTTTTTCCAGTGCCGTTGTAAACTTTGGTCACTAAAAGAACTGTCGTAAGTGGAGGACAATCCAGCCGCCTTCTTTCTCTTCACTCTCAAAAGCTTCCTGCGTGGGTGTCTCGCGTGCTGTCAGGCTGGCTTGTGGTTTTCCCCGGGTGCCTGCTCCGTCCGCTTTGGCCAGCAGCAGGCGGCTCCTGAGGGACGGTGGGTGGGTGGGTGGGTGGGTAGGGGGCTCCCATCCCCTCTTTTGTCTGGGCAGGGGCTGCACAGGAGCGGCCCAGCTGTTGCTTTTTCCCACGAGCAGCCGAGCTGAGCCCCCTTTGCAGAAAACAATGCTGAGTAGCCACTGAGTAGCAGAGCAGGGCAGGAGGGGTCTAGCTCCAGGTGGCTGGTGTGTGTGTGTGTCCGTGTGTGTGTGTGTCCGTGTGAGTCCCCGACTCCCCTGACAAAAAAAAAGGAGGGTGTGAATGACAGCCAGGTTGGCTTTCGCGGGAGATGCCCAAAGTCCCGTCTGTGAATACCTTAACAGAGCCACAGGTGTGCTTGCCAGTGCTGGGGGGGTGGGGGGGTTGGTCTCATTTGGGGGTGCAGAGTGTACAAGCCCAGGGACCAGAGCTCAGTTGCAACCCAGCTGCTTTCTCCTCTTCTGATGGAAGCAGAGACCACCCTCTGGCAGTTTGACTTTCTTGGTGGCTGCTCCTGCAAAAGTCACACACACACACACACCCTTGTGAGATGCTTGTGCATGCTTAAAAAAAGGCCGGGCTTAGATTGCACGGGGATGGGGGCCGTCGTGTCTTTTTTGATTCCACCCCCATCCCTGCTCTGCCCTGGGGGCCAGTGGGTCTGCAGAGGGGGGCAGGCCAGAGGTTGGCATCATGGATGTGTTTGATGTGGTGAGTTACCTGAGCCAGCCAGGATGGCTTCTTGAGCAAATCATGGCTTAGCTTAATATAGGAATTCTTTGGGAGGCTTGGCTTTGCTCCAGTTCCCCTCCCCCGTGCAGTGATGGGTCGTTCTGTATTTTTTTTTAAAAGCTGATTGGTCTACAATAGCATTATTTTAGCAGGCTGAAAGAATGTTTTTTAAGTTTTGGCAAACATAGTTTTGCATTCCGCTGCACTTCAGCTCCAAGTTGATTTTATCTTCCTTTGTAACGCCTTGGGCGGGATAATGTTGAGACTCTTTTGAGACTCTGGGAAGAATGCAGAGAAGAGCAACAAAGAGGATTAGAAGGCCTGGAGACTAAAACATACGAAGGACAGTCTAGTCTAGTGAAAATAAAGATTTGGGACAACATGATAACAGTGTTCAAATATTTGAGGGGCTTCCAGAAGGCACCAGATAAGAAAAAATAGATGGAAACTAACCAAAGAGAGACGCAACCTGGAATTAAGGAGAAATTTCCTCACAGGGAGGACAGTTAACCAGTGGGACTGCTTGCCACCAGAAATCATGGGCCACTGGAGGCTTTAAAAAAGAGACTGGCCAGCCATTTGTCTGAAATGGTATGGGGTTTGACTAGATGACTTTCAAGGTCCCTTCCAACCCTTTTATTCCGTTACTTATCAGGCAGAAGAAGGTTGCTTGGTCTGCATTTAGTGGGACTTGTTAAGATGCTTCAACTTGTGAAGATGCTTTGTGACAAAAGCACTTCCTTATTTCTTGAGAGGACCTGAAAGTAACCAGGTCTGTTTCTTCCGGTTCACAAATGCTTCCCGGCCAAGGCACCTAGGAGGAGGAGGAGGAGGAGGAGGAGGAGGAGGAGGAGGTACCGGCATTCTTCCTCATTGCAGGCAATTCAGCAAATGTGCATTTAATGCCTAACCCAGACAGACAGGCCTGTGCTTTAGCAATTTATGGCTGAGGGTTTTTTTTGCATCACACTGGTTTCCTTTATTGCACTTTTACACACAATAACTCTTGATTTCATTGGACGACTTAAGAGGGCCAGCAACTCTTCCTGTACTTAACGTGGTGCAGCTCGATTGTGGCTAAACATAATGTGCAACGCCGTTATAGTTGGTAAACCTATAATCACTCTGTTAATGCCAAACCAATTAACTGTGTGAACCAGGGATATCTGAACCCTGGCTTAATGCGCTGGGTGGACCGGGTCCTATTTAGAGCTGGTTCCGTGACTGGCATCCTGCTTGGTGTTTTATAAAAATTTCCCCTTTAAAAAATATGACCTTTCCCGTCTGACAAAAAAGTTTGAGTTGATTCAGGCAGCCCAAGAAACTCTTTTCGGGGGTTAACAAAATACATTTTTTCCTCTGTTGATAGAACATATAGTGCCCAAACCAACAAAGGGAAATTGAACCTAGCCGGTTAGTTACTCCATGAAGTATATCCTGTAGTAGAATCCTAGTTTTACCCCAGGTTTGGTATTCAGTTAAGTTAGCCCACGGGCAAATTGTGGTCAATTATGATTTTCAAAAATGACCACTTTAAGGTGTTTGGACTTCAACTCCCAGAATTCCTTGGCTGGCATGCTGAATTATGCTTCATTATTTTTGTAGAAATAAAATCTCCTTTGAGTCAAACAGGCAGGTCCGTAGAGCCATGTTCTTCAAACTTAAAAGATTGCTTTAAGATGTTTGGACTTCAATTCCCAGAATTCCCCAAGATAGGAAGTAGGGACCTATTATCGTATGTGGTGGAAATGTATAAAAGCAAAAAAAATTACTGGTGGAAAATAAAGGTTTGGATAGAAGAGATAGTTAACCAGAAAGTAGAGATAATAATAATAATAATAATAATAATAATAATAATAATAATAATAATAATAATAATAATAAATACAGTAAAGGAACAATATATGCAATGATACACATAATAACAGCTGCGAGATTGGTATATGCCCAAAACTGGAAGAATAAAGATACCCCTACAGAAAGTGAAATAATAAGGAAAATATTACTCTGTGCAGAGATGGACAGACTAACTTTAGAAATCCAAGATAAGGGTGAGACAGAGTATTATGAAGTCTGTAGTAAAATGTATCAATGGCTAGAGTCAAGGAAAAAGAAAGAAAGGGTCGACGCTTTATAGGAATGAAAGTTAAAAGTTTTGTAAACCAAAGAGAATGGAATATAATGGACAAGTATGAGATGATACAGATGCACGAGTATAAAAGACGGTTGTAAATATGTATATAATTATAGATAAATGTAGATAAATAGAAATATGCAGTTAGCACTATACTAACCAAGGGAAAAGGGAAATTAACTTTTATGTTTATCTCTATAATATAGCTTGCATGGCCAAAATGATGGTCAAGAAAGTCTCACTGTGTTCAATTGTTTTTAATGTTTATTCAATAAAATTTATTTAAAAAAATTCCCAGAATTCCCCAGCCAGCCATTCTGGGAACCACATGTCCACATGTCTTAAAACAGCCACGCTTGACAAACACGGGTGCAAGAGGATTCTGTGGTTCTTCTCTTTAAGTGGAAAGAGGGTTTCCCAGAATCGAGGAAGAAGCGTGAACGTGGCATCTGTTCAATTTGGCTAAGATTGTCATCTTTAGTGATTGAAGACACCCAACAGTCTATTCGAGTCTCAAATGGTATCTGGCACATAGATGCTGGAATTATAGCAATGGTTGTTGTCCCCCCGCCCATTCTGCCTGGCGATCACCCAGTTGCCATCCCATAATGCCAGGCCACCCCATGAAGCGTTTTTTTTCTTGTCATCTGCTTTGTTCAGATAGAAATCTTCAGAAGAGATATATATATATATATGTATGTATATGTATGTATGTATGTATGTATGTATGTATGTATGTGTATGTATTTGGGCGTCCTTCTCCCCCACAAACCAACTTGGTTAATCTCTGAATAGCTAAGCAGGGGTAGAGCCAAGGCCACTTAGAATTGGTGGGGTGGGGTGGGCAGTGGCAAACCCCAGATGGTCATTTACACCAGGGGTCTCCAACCTTGGCAACTTTAAGCCTTTCAGACTTCAACTCACAGAATTCCCAGAATTCTGCGAATTGAAGTCTGTCAGGCTTAAAGTTACTAAGGTTGGAGACCCCTGATTTACACAATCATTTATGACGCTGAGGAAACTCAAACTTCTACAATGCTTTCCTTGGGGTGTATAGCAAGCCGTGCTTGTAGATTAAAAAACCAGTTTGACCTAGTGGTTTAAGGCACCGGGCTAGAACCTGAGGAACTGTGAGTTCTAGTCCTGCCTTAGGTATGACAGTCAGCTGGGTGACTTTGGACCAACCTCTCTCTCTCAGCCCAACCCACCTCACAGGGTTGTTGTGGAGAACATTGGAGGAGGAAGGTGTGTTGGATATGTTCAATGCCTCGACTTATTTGTAAAAATAATAAAGGTGGAATACAAATACATAAATACAGATCTGGTGACTTTATAAACTGCTAGGTCAGACTCACTCTGGTTCCAATTCTGACTCTTCATTATTTGGAAATCACCTGAAAAGGCCATATTTAAGAAAGTTAATTATGATTCACGTCCTGGAAATGTCATCTGATTTACCTTTTGAGTTCCTGCCTGTAAAATGGGCGTAGAGCTCTTAGATGGCAATCGATCGAGGGAAGAAGAAGAAATATTGCATTTTTGAGGCCATTTGGATCTGTACGACAAACCTTCTCTTTTGTGGACGATTTTGTGGGAGGGATGTCCGCTAAAACCCAAATGTTCATTGACTTGAAATTTAGGCTATTTGCATCAATTGCCGTGTGAATGGTTTGCATTGCTTTGCATATAATGAAGTGTGTTTGAAAGAAAATTGCCTCCATTAAATCAAAAGTCTGGTAAATTGAATCACTGAAGCCCTGTTATTTTACAAAAGCACTGAAATGCCGCGTATGTCAAGATGACTAACATCCTAACTCCGTCCTTTAACTTTGCCCAACCGGATGTGTTCTCAGAGCATCGGCCATTACCCTCCCCCATTCTTAGTGTTTGGGGAAGGGAAACCTGGCATCTGGGAGCACGTGGACTCGATCCTGTCAAGGGCCCTATCCAACAAAATGAAATTTAATGTAGAGAAAAATAAAGTATTACACTTAGGCAAGAAAAACCAAAAGAGGGGTACTAATACCGCTCTATAAAGCCTTAGAAAGACTACACCTACAGTACTGCATCCGGTTTTGATCACCACACTATAAAAAAGATGTTCAGACCCTGGAAAAAAGTACAGAGAAGAGCAATTAGGATTATGAGGGGACTGGAGGCTGAAATATATGATGAATGGTTGCAGGAACTGGGCCTGGCTAGTCCAGGGAAGAGAAGGACCAGGGGAGACAGGAGAGCAGCCTTCCAATATTTGAGGGGCTGCCCCAGAGAGGAGGAGGAAGGGGTCAAGCTGTTTTCCAAAGCAGCTGAAGGCCAGACAAGGAATAATGGATGGAAACTGAACAAGGAGAGATTCATCCTGGAAATAAGGAGAAATTTTCTGACGGTGAAAGCAATCAAGTTGCCTTCAGAAGTTGTGGGAGCTTCATCACTGGAAGCTGTCAAGAGGAGGCCGGGCTGCCATTTGTCAGAAATGATGTGAGGTCTCCTGCTTGGGGCAGGGGGTTGGACTGGATGACCTACAAGGTCCCTTCCAACTCTGTTTAATCGGTTAAAGATGTCACATGGACTCCCTTGATATCTTTTCCATCCTGTGGCTGAGCTTCACCAGTGCCAGGAAATCATCTCTCTTCTCTTCTTGCAGGTTTGCGATGCACCCAGCCTTCTGAATCCTGCTTGAATGGTGGAAAGTGCGAAACCTATCAAAACGGAACAGGAGCATGTCTGTGAGTACTACTAGCTTGTTTTTTAAATAAGCGTGGGGAGTGAAAGCATGTAAAAGTTTTCAACCCTGAGATAGGGTTCTTTTTTTGTTGTTTTTTTAGCATTACAAGCTTTGCACAAAACATGGGCTTTCTAAAACGTTTGGGGTTTGTTTTTTTTTCTGAAAGGAAAACAACGTGGGCCTTTTGAATTTTGTCTCGGCTGAAGGAGGGTATTCTTATTTGGCATGGATCTACTTTTTTCTGGGCTTGAAAATACACCGGTGTTTTGTTATTTTGTTTTGTCTTTGCCAATCTCTAGCAAGAACGAAGACGCAGGTAGTTTGTGGGGATAGAAGGAAACTCACTTCATGTCTCAGAGAAAAAAAAAAACTGGTCTGTCCTTCCAGGAGTTGATATCAAAAGCTTTGATATCTTTCCTTCTTCTGAACAAAGATTAGATATAGAGACTCCGGGAACAGTGCAGAGAAGAGCAACAAACATGATAGGGGGGCTGGAGATGAAGGCCTGTGAAAAACAGTTGCAAGAATTGGATTTCCCTAGTAGAAAGATGGACTAGGGGAGACACGATATCAGTATTTCAGTATTTGAAGGGGCTGCCACAAAGAAGAGTTGGGGGTCAATTTGTCCTCCAAAGCACCAAAGGCGAGGACAAGAAACAATGGATGGAAACTAATCAAGGAGAGAAGCAACCTGGAATCAAAGAGACGCTTCCTAACCGTGGGGACAATTAACCAGTGGAACAGCTGGCCACCAGAAGTTGTGGGTGCTTCAACACTGGAGGCTTTTAAGAAGAGCCACAACCGACCTTGTTTAGGCATGTGGACCTAAGCAAGCCACTTGTCTGGAGTGGTATAGGGTCTCCATCTTGAGTGGGGGGGTGGACTAGAGGACCTCCAAGGTCTCCTCCAATTCCGTTATTCTGTTAAAATGGGCCTTGGGATAGAAATGACCCAGGCCCTCCTTTCTGTCTGTGCGGAGACTGGAGAAGTCTAGGTTTGGAAGGCCGGGTGGAAGGAAGGGGTTGTTTGAAAGAACACGGAGACAGTTTTATAGGGCTGTGCTGCATTGGGCGTGGGGGGTTCTCCTCCATTTTATGATAACAGCAACTGAGAACTTGCATGTGGCCTGAACAAGCTCCTTTATGGTCCTTCTAACAAATGCTGGTTTGCCAAAGGAGGACGTGGAAGGTTGTGAGGTTCTGCTGTTGATTAGATCACTTGTTGACGGATCCCCTGGAATATTATCCCCATGGACCAGAATGGCTCCTGAATTTGTTCCTTCCAGACACACCAGGATTGCATCTCCTCAGGCTAAGGCATATGAGTGCTCTTACACCGCAGCTGGGGAGCGCCGGGCCAGGGAAGACTCTCCCAATCCTACTTATAGATCATGGTGCATTCAAGGAACATGGTAGAATAGGATGCAGAATCTGGAAGCAGCAGAATTTGGCGCCCTGGGGGTGGATTTTGCAAGGCGTTGCTTTCCTAACCGACTCCATAATGCAGGAGTCCCCAAACTTTTCGAGTTGAAATCCACAAGTCTTAAAGCTGCCACGTTTGGAGACCTCTGCCATAATGGGCGCCAGCTGCTCTCCAACACTGTCCAAATGGATGGATGAAAAATAACCAGCTTGCTCTTTGTCCATTTGACTTAGGAGAAGTATCAAAGCAGCCTGCCCAGTTCCAAACGGGACAAGTATGTTTGGAAAATAGAAGTTCAGCAGAAGTTAACTCAATCGGAATCAAATTGAACCGAACCAAAAATCGGTGGGCCTTATGGCTAAGCGGCGAAATACGACCCGAGAAAAACTTGGTCTGAAGGCTGTTCTCAATCATGCAAAAACCACTGTGTGTGACTTACCTACCCATCTCACAGTGCGGTTGTTACAGGGGGAAAATAGGAGCAGGGAGCAGTGGTTATAGCAGGTTGTGCCAGAATGTGGGAGAGTTCAACAATTCAGTTTAATTTCTTGAACGAAAGAAGAAAATGTTTTAATATTTGTGATTCGCGTTTACATTTTGTCCCTCCTTTTTGCGTCTTCTCTCGAATGATTCTGTTCCAGAATTTCTTTGGTATTAGTGCAGCTCTTGGTTCCTCAGCGAGTTGTCTTGCGGCCAGTTGGGTCCTGCGAATTGTCACAACGCCTGTTGTGCCCCTAAGGAAAAGGCGGGAAGAAGTGTGCGAATCAAATTGGTTCTTGGAGTATCGGGGTTTTGCCTTTGAGAAAGCTGGCTTGCGGGTGAGGCAGTGGCCTTTCTGATCCCAACGGTGTGTGGGGAGGGAGTGAAAGGGGCGGGGGAGAGGCAGCCCCCCTTTTATTCCCCCCCCCTTTAATGCTTTGCTAGTTTGCTTAGGAGGGAGTCAGAGAGCCCTTCCTTCAGCAAATTAATCAGCGTGAGAGCAAATTAACAGACAAAAAAGGCTCGTCTACTTAGTGAGAGGCCGATGAACGCATGCCACAACATACATGCATATATACGTACACACACATGCACACACAGACACCACACCTTCCTATAAAAATGCCCATTTGGATTTATTTATTTTTGGCTCCTAGAAGCAAACCTTACCCCGGACACTCTCAAACCTGTTTTCAAAGAATGACAGCTGGGATTCGGTCAAAACTCAGCAGCTATTGTTGAGACGGGGGAGACGGGAGCTTTGTGGCTAATCTCGGGAGGGTTCCCAGAATGCCTGATTCACTCTCACCCCACAAACCTCCCCCCCCGGCATTTATTTCCTCCCCCCCTTCTCCCCAATCTTCTGGTCATTCTTCTTCCGCCTCAAAGACTCGTTTGTCTCCCCGATTTACATGGGGCGGACAGATGGAATTGAATGGGGCTGGGACAGATATGGCTGTTCTCTGCAAGGTGGGGTGGGTTCTTTTTTGCTTTTTGCTGTTGCTACCTCAACTGCCTCTCCCCCCCCCCGTCCACCCCACCCCCCGGGCCAGTCAAGAGAGGGAACTTCCTTGCATAAATCATAAGTTTTGTTCGCCCCCTTGCCGGAGGCGTTGGCATCAGCCGTCTCTACTGGGGCCATTCCACGCGTGCTGGTAAGGGTGAGTTACAGCTCGAAGGCTTCTCTTGTGCTGGACGATAGGCAACCCCCCCCTGGCTCTTTGGCGTTAACTTAGGCCGGGATTCTCCACTTTGGCAACTTGGAGATGTCTGGACTTCAAATAACAGGATCCCCCCACCAGCCCAGCCCAGCCCAGCCAGCATCTTGCTAAAGTTTGAGAAACACAAGCTTAGGGAACAATGTCAAGCTTTTAAATCTGGCTCGGAGGAAATCAAGTGGAATATAATGCGTGAACCAGATTTAAAATTAGCAAGTGTTCGTGATGCAAAGGTTTCAATTGGCTAAATGCTATATTTTTTAAAAAAATGAAGCTCAGTTCCGTCTCTGTGCTGCTGCCGTTGCTGCCTCCTCCTCCTCCTCCTCCTCCTCCTCCTCCCCCTCCTCCTGACTTCTGAATGCTGTTCTCAGCTCAGAAAAGCTTATAAAAATAATTTCATCCGGGGGACATGCTAGGGTGGGAGAGAGAGAGAGAAAGAGTCAGTCTGGTGCTGGGTTAAAAGATTGGATTAAAGTGCAGAGATGGAGGTTCAACTCTGCAGGCAGCCTCCTACTTACAAGTGGGAGCAGAACTTCCATTCCTAAGCCATTAAGATGAGAGGCGCCCGATATTAGCACCTTATTTGCTATAGTAAATTAGTTTAGTTTACTTTATTGTCATTGCACCTCGCACAACGAAATTAAGTACCATCTTCAGGGCATATTATTTGACTTTGCACGGAGTCACCAACTTCTCCTCCTTTTGCCCCCGACCTACCTTACAGGATTGTTGGGATAAAACAAGAGGTCGCGATGTGATGCAGGCTTCACATCTCTTGTTTCCTCATCTCTCTGGAGGAAAGAGGAGATGCGAAGCGAATGGGTTAAACTGAT